GTATTACATATTTTTACATAAAGACGGCGAGAAATCCTCGGACCTCGCGTAGAAAATTTTTTCTTACCAACAAACGTTTTAATTTTATAACTCTTAACAACATCAATATGAGTAAGAATTTTTAGACAAATGTGAGTCTAAAAAGAGAAATTTCGTTGATAAATACATTAAAAAAAATAGGACTTTTTCAGCAACTTTTAAGAAATGAATCAACAGACATATTATTAGATATCTGTTCAGGATTTCTTGAAAAGCCAGCTTTTTGCGCCATGGAATTTACACGAGAAACAATGCCTGGCGCTCGATTTTATGACGGCAAAAAATTGAACATCCCTGTTTCGACTGAAGCCGGTCTGGATCTATACGAACGTTGGATCCACCAAGGACTCAGCGGTATCATGTCTGCTGTGGCTCGCAAACGGTATTTTAACAAAAGTATTTTTTTCTTCCTCTGAAAATGGTGTTTTCAGTCTAATTCCTTATGCTTTTCACTTTTTTATAAAAAAAATTGCGCTTTGCTTTTTTCCCCTGATTTTTTTGTTCACCCGTCCGTTCTTTTTATGCGTTCTTTGCATCTATGCAATACAAAAATACACATTGTTGAAGGGTTACTTATGTGTGTATGTGTATGTCCGTGTGCATGTTTGTGTGTTCACCCGCACCTATTTATCACCTGGAGACCTACAAAACTACATAGCTAAAACTTTGGCTACTTAATTTATATCTGCGTGCTGCCCTCTATCCTCAAATAACCGCACATGTACAGGGGTTCTCATTTAGGCGCGTTAAAGGTTTTAGTGGGAAAATTGCTAACTCATAAACCAGGGAAGCTGGACGATTAAAATTTTAAAGGTTTGTTCCTTGTCCAAGTGTATTACTGTCCTCAACAAGAGAAAAAGCTAGCCTGAATCCACAAGCCGCGAAACAATGCATGCAGCAGTTTGCAGTGCATTTATAGTAACGTACAGTGGCCGACTATCAAGCAACGCAGCATTAGTCAGAAGAGCTGGAAAAGTTTGACAACCCTGTACTTGAAGCTGGAGAAACATGCTATAAAGAGCAATTGACCGTGAAATTATGTGTATTAAATTTGTAGCGCGAGGTACCTCAACGAATATCATCGCAACAAACTCTACAAATGTTCGAAAAACGCTGAAAATGTCGTAGAACAGGCTCGGTGTGTTATTCAGGCTATCGATGCCAAGATGCCGCAGCCCCCATCAAACTCAAAT